AAACTCCGCGTTGCTCAGCGACAGCCCCGAAACCTGACAGATCTAGAGGAGATCTGTGTGGAGGAGTGGGCCAAAATCCCTGTTGCAGTGTGTGCAAACCTGGTCAAGAACTACAGGAAACGTTTGACCTCTGTAATTGCAAACAAAGGTTTCTGTACCAAATATTAACACTGATTTTCTCAGGTGTTCAAATACTTATGTTCAGCAGTGCTAGACAAATAAATTCTTTAAAAATCTTTCAATGTGATTTCCTGAATTTTTTTTTAATTCTGTCTCTCAGAGTGGGAATGCACCTACAATGTGAATTTCAGACCCCTCCATGATTTCTAAGTGGGAGAACTTGCAAAATCGCAGGGTGTTCAAATACTTCTGTTCCTCACTGTATGTGATGAGATATTCAGCAATATACAGAAGACAGAGTAGACTACCATTCTGCTGAAAATGTACTTAGGTACAAAGTCAGACTTTATTTCACAGTAAAATAAGAAACAAACTGATGATCACAGTGGTTGGGGTCCTGTTGATTTTTAGGGTGACGCTGGGAAGACTGGAGAAGCTGGAAGTCTTGGGCCTCCAGGTCAAAGGGTAAATGTTAATGTAGTTTGTGCCTCTCACTGGGGCTACATTTTCTTTATCAAAGTACAAAAATACTGACTAGATATACTTTCTAGGGACCAAATGGAAAAGATGGAGAGGAAGGCGCTGCTGGTCCAGGTGGCCCAGCTGTAAGTGAAAAAACATCATCATGGTTGAGAAAATCATCAATGATTTAGTAACATTATGTTCAAATCGTGATATATTCAAATGCTTTATTTTAGGGTCCTGCGGGGAAAAGAGGAGAGCAGGGACCACAGGGATTTAATGGGTTCCAGGTACCTGCATCCCATAGTTGTGAAAGTATACATTTTCATTAACTCCTGTCCCCCAGCGGAATGTTCCCTTTTTTCTTGGTTGTAAATTTTTTTAAATACACAAGTATGCATGAAACTGAACTAACCCATTAAAGAGACACTGTGAAACTGAAACTAAACCTTGAAGCCTGATTTAGTTACACCAGCACACTATTGTGATCAGTGTTAAAAAAAACTGGTGTGGTGTTTTTCAGGGTTTGCCAGGACTGCCAGGATCACCAGGAGAGCCAGGAAAACCAGGTGATGAGGTATGTCACAATAGCACACAAAAATAGTCACTGGAAATGATTTGTAAATGATTAGCCTTTGTATTATATACAGTACAATGATGTGTCATCAGTGAACTCTTCATGTGATATTATAATGTTATTGTGGTTTTCCAGGGTCTTGCTGGAGAGGCTGGGACTGCTGGGGCTACTGGTCCAAGGGTAAGTGTGTTTGAGTTGTTAATATTAAAGGTCTGGCTCTTATTCCATTTCCAAAGTTACAGCAACTGAATGTGCCACCACTCGTCTTTACAGTTCAATTTTCAGAGCAGTAAAACACTGTTGTGTGCCTCTATCCAATGGTTGACAGGGAGAACGAGGCTCTCCAGGAGATAGAGGTGAAGCTGGACCCAGTGGCTTGCAGGGACCCAAAGGTAGTCCAGGTGGGCCAGGACCGGATGGGCCAAAGGTATCACAAGCATAAAAGCAATGAAGCTGAAACTTGAACCACAGAGGTTAAACACCTGCTTCACTAATAATAATAATAGCTGCAGGTAAATCTGTGATTCTTTCTCTTATATTTTAGGGTAATCCTGGTCCAAAGGGTGCTGTCGGAGAGCCAGGAGGTCCAGGACTTCAAGGTATGCCAGGGGAGAGAGGCACACCAGGACCTTCAGGCCCGAAGGGAGATGCTGTAAGTCTAAGTCACCTGCAAGGAAACAGAGATAGCAATTTCTTCACAGCAGGACCCTAAGTAGATTGGAAGAACCTCTCAGGATAGATGCATAGAGAGCCATGTTTGATCCACTGGTAGTTGGCAAAGGTCATTCTGGGACATGCAAGAAATCAGTAAAAGAGGAATAGTTTCCTGTGTCTGTTCAAAAAGAATCCAAGAGCTTATTAAAAAGTTCAAGCTGAACCACTGATGATGTTGTTTTCTTCAACCAGGGCTCTGTTGGAGAGAAAGGACCTGAGGGTAAAGCAGGAGCTGACGGTGCACGAGTGAGTTGATCACAGATGATACTGCAGGTTTCTCAGATGGAAGAAATATTTCACTTTATGGTGGTAAAGCTGAAAACACACTCACTGTTAGTTTCTGATTAGGATTAGTTGTCTAATATGATGTTGTAATATTTCCTCTCATTTTATTTAAAGGGACTTCCTGGTCCTGTTGGACCTACTGGTTCTAGTGGACCCAATGGAGAGAAGGTGATTTCAAAAGCACAGTTTTTAGCACATATTTTTTTAAACCTGGAAATGTGAGTGGTTACAGTCATGTATTTTGTCAAAATATTACATTCTGAAAAACCTACAGCTGCAGAGTTAGTCCTCAAAAGTTACAAAGCATTGACAGTATTTGACTGAAATTTATAATAAACACAAAATTAAGGGAGAACAGATTTCATGTCAGATCTGAAGGAGATAAAATGCAAATAATAATAAACATATTGGTGCAAAAAAGAACACAGAACTAGTAACTTTGCCCCTTTTCAAATATGTCAACTCTTGAACTAAATAAATTGGTATGACCATGAACTTCGCTCTGAAGTTACTTTGTGGATTCCTTTTAAGAACTTTTATTTATTTAATTGTTCCTTTATTTCAGGGTGAACCTGGCCCACTAGGGCCTACAGGAGGTCGAGGCTCAAGAGGAATCGCTGTCAGTAGAACATTTCATTTCACACCATTATATTGTCTGGAAAATTATTATTAATTTATTTATTGATAGATAATATTTGTATTTGTGGTGATATTAACAGGGTTCTACTGGTGAGCCTGGTCCAACTGGTGCTGCTGGCCTCCCTGGACCTTCTGTAAGTGGTCACTAAAGCTAAAGCAGGACAGGCCAGAATGAAAAACAAACAAACAAAGCTCATGATTTTTCTTTTCCAGGGTCCTGATGGTCAGCCTGGAGTCAAAGGTGAACCAGGTGAGCCAGGCCTAAAAGGAGAAGCAGGACCACCTGGACCACAGGGAATTGCTGGGAAACCAGGAGCACAGGTACACACCCAAAACCTAACTCTAATGAACATCCACAATGCCATAATCCAATCTATATAATCCAGTGCTTGTATTTTAGGGACCTGTTGGTGTGACTGGATTGAAAGGTGGCAGAGGATCGCAGGGTCCAGCAGTGAGTTAAAAGCCTCTGTGGCAAATACAAACGTCACAGTTTGTCAGTTTCTTTCTTTCACATTTGAGTGTGGAGTGCCACTATTCTTTTTATAGACATTATTATTATCACTGAAGTACATTGTGATTTACATTAGGAGTGTTTTCTTCCCACAGGGTTCTCCTGGTTTTCCTGGGTTGCCTGGGGGAGTTGGACCACCCGGCTCTCTTGTGAGTTAATCGGTTACCTTAAATAAAAATAACACATAAAATTAGAACAACAAAGGGACAGCAGGCTCACTTTACTGTTGGACTCCGTTTCAGCCTCATTCCTCCAGTGGATTCACTATGTCACATTTGTATTTTTGAAAATTTAGACTGAGGGAAGATCTTGTTTCAGGGTGCTGTTGGGGCAGATGGACCCATAGGTGATCCAGGAAAGCAGGGCCCACCTGGTATTCAAGGAGAAAATGGAGCCAAAGGACGCCAAGGAGAGACAGGACCTCCAGGCCCACCTGGCAGCCCTGGAGAAAATGGAGACTCTGGGGAGGACGGTCCTCTGGTAAGAGGAGGTTCCGACTGTGCTGATTTTCCAGCAGTCAAACACAAATAAATCCTGACATGTTTCAATTGCTTTCTCTGGAAGGGTCCTGAAGGGCCTCCAGGCCCTCCTGGTGCCACAGGACAGAGGGGCATCGTTGGTCAGCCTGGAGCCAGAGGAGAGAGAGGCATGCTGGGACTGCCAGGCCCTGCTGTATGTATTCTTGCTGATTTGTTTTGTGTTTCTAGCCACACAAAACTGGACTACATCTTGAGGTTTTGTTTAGGTGATAACTAGACTCTTGAACCATGTAAGCAACTATTTAAACTTTTGCTTATTTATTTGTCAGGGTCCACCAGGAAAACCTGGAGCTCCTGGAACTCAGGGCGGCAAAGGGCCTCCTGGTGGAGTTGGTTTACCAGGGTCCACGGGGCCAAGAGGGGATGCTGGTCCTGAGGTTTGTCTTGTCAGTCTCAGTCATTGTATGTTAGTGAAGAACCAAGAAATGTTGATATAAAATTTAGGTTACAAACAACATCGAGAACACTCAGCAGGACAAGAGGGTTTAAAGGTTGTGATTGATTAATTGAAACCATCTGATCTGTAAAGTCTCAGTACAATTGTTTCTTTGTTGGTGATTGTACTTTTTCTGAACTGACACAAATTTGTTTATTTTAAAATTTTCTTATTAATCATGCCATCGTCTGTGTTCATTAAGGGAATTACTGGAGAGGAGGGGCCTCCTGGTAAAGATGGTCTCCTAGGGGGCAGGGTAAGATGAAATCCCTGATGTGCTGGTTTGTTAAAGTAGAAGAATCAGCTAATGATACTACTATGTGTATAATCACTGTGTGTGTGTTTCTTCAGGGAGACAGGGGTGATCCTGGTCCAGAGGGTCTGGCTGGTGGAATAGGGTCTCCAGGAACAGAGGGCCCAGTAGGGATTACTGGCAGCCCAGGGCAAAGAGGCGAAAGCGTGAGTTTTATAAACAGAATTGCAGTCCTTTTACATACAATATGCTGCATCTGGCAGTTTCATATCATCAGCTCTGTCAATGCTGTCATAGTCTGTCTGTCATGTCTCTTTGTTTGTTTGGAGTTTAGGGTGCCAGAGGCCCCCCTGGTTCCCTAGGACCCAATGGAGTACGTGGAAAAGTGGTAAGCTTGAAATCACCTCATCACTACCCTAAAACAACAATTCAATGATTTAAAATAGGCAATCAAATAAAATTTGTGCTTGTTTTTAGTTTAAAATGTTTAAAAAAGTGTTTTGCAGTGATGTGTTAAATTGACGTCCTGTGTCTGTTTGTAGGGCCCTCAAGGACCACAGGGAGAAAAAGGAGCTGCTGGAGAACAAGGAGAGAGGGGTCAGAAAGGACACAGAGGTTTCACCGGACTCCATGGTTTGCCAGGAACAACTGTAAGCAACATGTTGATCATTTAACGCTACACTAGGCAGCCTCAAATGAGTTTTTTCTGTAGATCAATGGAGATACTTCTAGTAAAGATATTGAGAAATAGGTACGCACACTTAGCTTTACTGTCACATAAGACTGACTCAGTTCTTGTGTAGATACTCATGGCAGCTTTAAAGCCAAACAGTTTCGAGTCTGGTTTCTTTAGGGGAAGACTGAAACTGAAACACAGTACCACTCTATCACTCTGTTTCAGGGCACCACAGGGGATCCAGGAACTAAGGGTATTGTCGGACCAGCTGGGCCTCGAGTAAGTGCCTAATAACACTATGCAGTGGAGTTTTCAGTCAGTTTAAGTTTTTGGCAAAAGCTGACAAAACTAGATACAAACATATGTGCTAGTATATAGTACTAAACAATGTGGAGTGTCATAATTCTCTGCGTCAATCTCTCCCTGTTTTACAGGGTCCTCCGGGAGTGTTGGGTCCTCCTGGGAAGGAAGGAAACACAGGTCAGCCTGGCCCGATGGGCGCTCCTGGAAGCAGAGGAGCTAGTGGAGACATCGGGGCACAGGTGGCACAAGATTACATTGACTTTTTACATTTCAAATAATCAACATATTAGTGTTATCCCAAAATAAGTACAGTGAATGCAATATTCCAGGAACAATAAATATTTTGCAGAAGTGACATGGCCTGTCATGACCACATAATGTTAGTATTTTATATTTTAATTATTGCAATTATAAGATCACATGGAACAACATTTTCAGATTATTTAAAAGCTGGAGTAGATGGAGTAGGTATAAATAATTAATGGCCTTATCAGATGTTTTGTGGCAATTTCCATGGCTTGAAGACATTTTACAATATCACATTGTCGCAGATTAGACCGTTTATAAAGTCTTGTCTACAGCCATGGACACTGGGGGTCTTGAGATTAGCTGGGTTTATTTCTAAAGTGATTTTATTCACAGCTTTTTAGAAATATTTACTGCATCTTGTTTCTACACTATTTAATAAATAATTCCAGTTTCATACAATCTTATATCTAATTGTTGAGACTGTGGATTAAAGTGTTGGCAGGACTGACCTCTATTTTGGTCACACTGCCAGAAAAACAAAGTAATAGTTTTCTTTTCTTTGTCAGGGTCCACCAGGTGAAACTGGACCCCCCGGACCTCCAGGACCCCCAGGGCCCCCAAGTGCAGCTGTGGAAGAACTCTTTGTCGCCCCTGCCGATTATGATGGGGATGGTGGTGTGCCAGAAGCTGTGCACTTCATCCAGGATGGTGTGGAAGTTGATCCTCCTCCACCTCCAGAGATAAACAAAGACGAAGCTCTTCCCAGTAAGAAGTCGGACATCCTGCGTGCAGACACTGATGTCCACGCCACTCTGAAGACTCTCGGTGGACATCTGCAAAACATCCGCAGTCCTGACGGCAGCAAGATGAACCCTGCAAAAACCTGCCAGGACATCAAACAGTGCTACCCCCAGAAGAAGACCGGTGCGGGGCCTGTTTTTCTTATTTGCTGATTTATAGTGTATTTTCATTTATTTTCAGACCAGAACCACATATCCACACAGACCAATTGGTCTAACTCCTTTCAGTTGTTTTATTGTGTCTTTTGTACAGCTGAGTACTGGCTTGATCCAAATCAAGGAAGCACTAAGGATGCCATCAGGGTCTTCTGTAATATGGAAAGTGGGGAAACCTGCATCTCTGCCAATCCGTCTAATATTCCTCGCAAAGCCTGGTGGATGAAATCCACTCCCAGTGCCAACAAACCTGTCTGGTTTGGAGCCGACATGAATGGTGGAACTAAAGTAAGCAATCACGACTTGTGTTTGGATGTTTGCATGTGGTAGACGTTTTGTGTTTGTTTTGTGGTTTGTTGAATTCAAACATGATGTGTTTTGTAAAAGTATCATAAGTATCTCAGAGCATGTGCATTTTTGAAATCCAGTGTGTCCTGGGTGTGACTGTGTCAAATCTAATTTCAGTTCAGTTATGGAAATAAGGAGGAGCAGCCTAATGCAGTGGCAGTTCAAATGAAGCTGCTGCAGCTTTTGTCCAGAGAATCACACCAGAACATCACCTACCACTGCAGGAACAGTGTGGCTTATAATGACGCGAAGAGCAGCAACCTGAAGAAAGCACTGCTCCTCAGAGGCTTCAACGGCCAGGACCTGAGAGCTCAAGGCAACAACCGCCTCCGATACACTGTCATTGAGGACGGCTGCTCAGTAAGTCTCAGAATCCCTAAAAATCTGATTCAAAATGACTGGGAGACAATTTATCTGGTTTTCTTTTTCCTTTAGAAATCAAACAGTGAGTGGGGCAAGACAGTGATTGAGTACAGGACTCAAACTCCGGTCAGGCTGCCTATTGTGGACTTAGCCCCCATGGACATTGGAAAACCTGACCAGGAGTTCGGCCTGGACATTGGCCCTGTGTGCTTCTCATAAAACAGCAAACACCAACACAAGATGGACACAAATAGCTCTGTAATAACATCATCAAAAGTGATAGTTTGACTTCTTGTGAGCATACAAGCTGATAAAGGGTCTTCACACATGGATGTATTTCATGTAAGTACAGTGTACCTGCTGCATCTACCGACATAGGACAGCTGTGTGACTGGTAGGACACTGATGTAATTTATTCATCCTGTCAATAAATTTACAAGAACTCCACAATGAAATGCATGTGGGTGATAAAATCCCTAAGGTGTTTTAATGCGAAACCTAAATAAACTACTTGCAAAAACTGGAAGAACAGCCAGTTATACTAAAGCTTAAAGAGATGTAAGGTCTATTGGGAACATAGAGCAGGTTGTAAAAAAAACAAACCAAAAAAAAAACAACAACAAATAAAACTAGTCAAATATCTTTAATTTTTTTGACTAGTGATGGCTTTGCACATCCAGAGGCCTGGAGAGGGTTAGGGTTTGTATGACAATGAGTGTAGTTTTTATTTTTCATGAAATAAAAAAAAATCATGCTTGAACCTAAATTATTAAGTTCTGTGCAGGAACTCATTTATCCTTTCAATCGAAAACCTATCTCCTTTAAAAATGTCAACTGTAAATCCAACTTATGACTGTAAATTGATAATTATTTGTTTATTGATGACTATGGATGTAAAATAAATGAAAAGTTCAATGAACTCAGCTCGTCTTCATGAACAGCCACTAGAGGGAGACAATGCTTTTCTTTCCAGTCTCCAAATCGTACTGCAGTTTACTGCTTTCACTTGATATTTCAGGTGTAACAAGCCCTCGATTAGCTGAGAAAAGCTGAAAAAGCAGCAGGACTCTGAGGATTGAAAATGAATAATTCTGTGTTTTGTGATAAATGAATACAAACTGTAATGTTAATTCACATTAGATAGGTGGATTACTGCTGTTTTACTTTGCATTAGTGCCTGTTTCTTAAACTATAAAAACACTGGTTTGCTGATTTGTAAATCCAACACAAATGAGTAACTTCAGTTTGGAGTCTCATATGGGTGTGTGTTAGCGTGTACCATTAAAAAAAAAGCTCCAGAGAGAGGGAGAGAGTAGGTGTCCTTTCAGGAAGAAAAAGAGCCAAAGTTCAGGCAGCACATGTTTCTGGGTTGACCTCTCCTCTCAGTGCTCGGTGAAAGACATGCCACTCTCACCGTTTCCTGTAGCCCAGTGCTCATTCTACATCTGTCGAGGTGGTCATTTTTAGCCAAGGGTGCTATTTTCATTTTAGTGCATGGAAAAATATAACACTGGTTAAAGCTGTTGCTGAAGGAATCTAAACTGCTTTATGTGACCTCTACAATACATTATAACATACCATTGTTGCACCTTTTCAAAACTTTTTCAATACAAGCAGAGGAAAATACTTTGACCAACACTAAATTATATTAGAATATCACTGTCCATTTTTAGCCTGATGTTAAAAATGGGGTAACCCAGACACAAATTAATAAGATTTAGTACATCCCAATCCCAAAGCACATTGTCCCTCCTGAATGAAGAGGTCAGTTTCACACAACTCTACAAGAACTGGGTTCCCACAATCTCAGATAAGTCTGCAAAAACACAGAGACATTAGTTTTATCCACAAGACTTAGGATTTATTTGAGCCAATGTATAATTTAGTGACAGTGAATCAATCTTTTAAAAAGGCCTAAGACCAAAAGCTAAAATACTACCCTTCAAGAAAACCTACTCACCCACTTTCCTAATAAATACAGTACAAAACAGGGATAGAATGCTCAAGGTCAACAGGTTGAGAGAGACCCATTCAATAAACACCACAAAAATCAATTAATCACAATCAGAAACAAAACCAACACAGAGTACCATAACCAACTTAAGAGGATCTTCCCTCCCTGTACACCAAACCATTCACATACTGCTCAAACACCATAACATTGACCCAACCCTAGTTACATGAGCAATACAATAAATATGAGTTAAATTTAAGTAGGCCTCTTGACAATAAATAAATATGCTGGCAAAGCAGCAGTGGCCAATACTCCTACAAAGAGTAAAACCACATTCAATAAAAGCACTAGAAGATTCAAAACAAAACAAAAGCTGCTGAAGAATATCTTGGCTGCGTCTTACACTGTGGCGTCTTGGCACAGCATGTGCGACAGATGCCAATTCCTGAAGGGTTGCATTTGAATCAGTTGTCACCCTTGGAGAAGCATGCAGTTATCCCCTAATCAATCTCAGAGGACAGTAGGACATAGGTCAACAGAAGGAGATCAGACTTCACTCTAGAATATTCACTGCAGCGACCAGCACAGCAATTGCTTATCGCAGCAGTTTCCCCAGGGGTGGGGTTTATATCTGTGATTAACACGTCAAATTGCTCACCTGACGATATAGGCATGGCCAACCCGCCGGTTACACATTGAAGGCCCAAAAGCCAATTATCATTGTTGACTACTTCAAATAAAAAAGAAGAAAGAAAGAAAAACCACAGAATCCCAGATGTGGACAACTAGCAGATGTGTGCAAATAGAAACCATGTTGTTTTGAGCTAAATGCTAACATGCTCACAATGACAATACTCGTAATGCAAAGTAGGTCTAAAGTAAGTTTACTATATCCACCATCTTAGTTTAGCTTGTTAGTGTGCTGGCATAATAGTTTGTGGAGAGTTTTGCAGGTAATTGCTTGTAAACATAAACATACTTAATAAATAAAAAATGATGATGACACTAGATGAAAAGTCAGGGGTCACCAGAAGGGACAGGAAAGTCTTACTTCATTTAGTGGCAATTCATAAAGTAGTTGTTGAGATATTTTACTCTGGACCAAAAGTGGTCCAACTGACAGAGAGACAGACATTGCTATTATTACCAAAGAGCATATGGGCATGTAGATTTAAGGAACAAGTTGCCTGGCTTTGCACTGTCAGCTCTAATTACCCTCTGTTCTACTTATCTCAGAGAAGAAGTAAGTTTTCTCCTTTCATGAGAAAAATTAGCTCAGAGGTTAAATTCTCCTTTTTCTCTCCTTTTTATGTCTTTCTGCTTGGGTGGATACTCTCTGCAAGAGTTGGTGTCAGATTATGTGAAAAAAAATCATGTGTTTCATTTAATGTGTTTGTGCCCTCTTCACTAAAATGTGGACCACTAGACGCTGTGCCCCTGAGCTGACTTGGCAGCGACGCCCAGATTCTGACGGGGGTGTCTCTTGTTTGCTAAGGAGCCTCTACAATATTTCCCAGCTACTCCTTTTCCTTCCTGAGGACCCTCCAACCCCACCTCACCGACACCCCTCCAGAACACTTAAAGAACACTGGGAAAGGATCATGAGAAAGGCTCAAAGTATTTTCCTAAACTATTTTCACTGGCATGCAAACAAGACTGAGAATAAATATCACAATTGAGGGAAAGTAAAAAAGCCAGAGTGTGTGGTTAGGTTGACTGATTCGTAACCACTAATCATGGGTCCTGCAGGTTGTTACTTACTGGGGCTACTCTCTTCACCCTTAGCACCTGATTACACTTATTTTATTGGAATTAATGGGTTTTTCTAGAAAATTTAGACTTTTTGTGAGGTGAGATCGCATTTTGCCAGGAGAAATTCTCACCTTTTCCTACTTTGTGTGGCAAAAAGTAGCAAGGATAGAGTTACAAACATAAACCAAAGGAGCTAGCACAGCTAGCAGGGCATAGCACTGCCTTTTTTAACAGTTTGCTTTACATCCTCCTTCTCAATTACTAGACTTACCACAGTCTGTATGTTTTGTAATGCAGATCTTCTTAGCACAGATGAGATTAAAAAAAACATAACATTTTATTATTAAAATACATTTAAGTCATTATTTATGGGAAGTATTGAATGCTTTAAAGTTTTTTACTGTTAGTTCCAGAGAGAACAAAGTGCTTGTTTCAGGTTTTTACAATAGATACACATAATTGTTAGCATTTCACTGCTGTGTGAATGTTTGGCATTATGTAAAGAATAATATTACATTTTTAGACTAGAATTTCCAACATGTGGCTGGGAATGTGTTCGTTCTCCATATGAACAAAATGAAGTAAAGATTCACACCCTCCCTACACCCAGAAATGTCAGCTGCACTTGAAAATGATTCTTTTTATATGGGTGCTGCCTCAGTATTCTCTCTCTCTCTCACACACACACAAACACCCCTGATTGAAAGGGAAATGTGCTGCTTTAACATCCCACCTTTCCCCAGATCCTGGGAGGAGCCTGTGCATGGTGGCAATGAGGAGAACAATGGCAGGAAACTGCAAGAGGAGCGAGGGAGTTCCTGTCTGCAGGATGATGTTGAAGACCAGAGCACCGACACACCTCTTGTAAGTGGATAATAACCCTGCCACCCTGGGCAGTAGGACCTGGGCTCTTTAAAACTGTATAAGCTCATTGTTTGAAATGTTTTGTGGAGTTTGATTTCATATGTCTGATATTTGAATTGTTCTCTGCTAAAGAATGAAATGCTAAAATGCCATGACAAATGACCTTCAGAACCAAATTGCTCCCTATTTGTGATGCGGACATCACACCAGTGAATAAAGCTGCTTTCATACTTTCATGATATTTGTGCATGGCAGCTACACTATGGTTACAAATAGACAAAGACTGTGGTTATTTAAAAAACTGAAAACATTTAGAGCTGGATTTTGACACAACACAAATTCTCTCTCCAGTGTTAAAGGCCAGCTTGATCTCCGGGCTCCTATAGTCTGCATTGCTACATACAGTAAAAGTACCCACCAGGATTTCAACCCCTAATCTCCTGACTGGGAAGCAGCAGTGCTGACCCCAGAACCATCTTACAGTGCAATGTTTTGCCTTTGTAATTGGGGGGCCATTTTCATAACTGAAGTTTGTAAATTTTCATTTCAGAAAGGTTTGGGTCAAGTCATGTTACCACCACATATTTGGAGTTACTTTACACTAACAGTATGATGATTTTTTAACAGTCTTATTAACTATTTCAATGCATATGGTAAAGAACCCCCTCCTTGAACCGCCACCTTATTGAGGTGGAGGGGATTGAGTACCCGAGTGATCCTGGGAGCTATGTTGTCGGGGGCTATATGTCCCTGGTAGGGTCTCCCAAGGCAAACAGGTCCTGGGTGACGGGTCAGACTAAGAGTGGTTCAA